GAATTCTCATTTTTAACGCTTTTCCCTTCCCTTTTTTTTTTGAGTTCTCTTTTTTTTTAGCTTTTCTCTTCTTCTCTTTTTTCTTCTTCTTTGGAGTCCTTATTCATTGGAGCTTTTCTTTTATTTACTTCTTTATTATAATATTTTTTTCTTTTTTATTAGAATATTTTTCTTCCCACCTTTCACTGACCCTGTAAGGGTATTTTTTACCTTTTTCTTTATTTCTTTCACTTTTCTTCTTCCTTTCTCTCTTTTCTCTAGAAGTCTTTGCTTCCTTTATTTTGGGAGACTCAATATCTTTGCTTTTGAAAATTTCAAACATGGATTTCCTCTTATAATTTGCACATTCTTGATGCACTCAAGAAGATTTGGCTAAGAGAGGATAGTGCTTGTAAGCACTCAAAATGAGTGGTTAAGATGTGGTTGTCCAAATAAAGGTTTCAGACTCAAATGGAAAAACTAGGGATTAATGTAATTTGGTAGGCTTTTAAAGGCACAATCGGGTCAAAAAAGAGTTACAATTCTTTCTCAAACCAAACATTACTCATGATTTCGTCTCGAAAAATATTCAGGTCAAGTTCTAGATCAATAGTATAACACAATTGAACTTTGATCAAAACCTCTTCACACAATACACATGAAACATAAGGTTAGTTTTATTCTTATCTTGATTGCATGCAAGAGAATTTTCAAGCATCACAAAAGTACAGATAAGAGGTACTACGAGAAACTATAGTTTACCGCAACGTCAGTATTTTCCATCATATCAAATATATTTACATGCTCTTAACTATATAGGTCCCGACCGAGCTAAAGACATGACTCTTACAGTATGTACAAGTAATATTATTTTTGAAAGAATGATTACCGAACCCGAGAAGGGCTGCCTACGTATCTCATTAACATGAGAAACAGGTGTGCGTAAGAGTGGCAGCGGAACCGGTACCTACCGGTTCCCGGTCCGGTCCGTCCCAGTTCGATTCGGTACCGGTTAGTACCTGTTAGGGTTTGGATTTTCCGGTTCCGGGACAGGAACCGGGACGGAATTACGGAATATCCGGTTTTTACCTGTTTTGGTAATTACCGATCCGGTCCGGTCTGGTACGGTTTAATTTTTTTTTTAAATAGAGCCGTTACTAGCCGTTGGGTAACGGTTAGTGGGCCCCCCCAACGGCTAGTTCAAGAAAAATTCATCCAATAAAGCCCTTACCCCACCCCTAACTTTTTTAATACCCTAAAGTTTTAAAAGTTACACTTTAACCCATTTTTTACTTATAAATACCCCTAAATTTCATTCTTTTAAATCATAATATCATCTATTCATCTTCTACTCTCTCAACTCTCTACTCTCTATCTCTAATCTCTAATTCTATAATATATAATATCTTAAATTTCGGTGTTGCCTTACTTGGTCTTTGGAAATTAGATTTGGAGCTTCAAAATTCAATTTTCAACTTTCCACGTTCGGCTATCGGCGGTCATAAACGTCTACTTTTTTTGAGTAGACGTTCGGTACATTCATTCTAACTTTTATTTTATGTTTCATTTATATTTAAATAATTATTTATTTATTTGTGATTTATTGTTTGCATAATTGCATAACATTTTTCTTATTATATTTATTCTCACGTTTAATTTTTTAATATGAATTTCGAAAAAAATATTGTTCAAAAAGGAAAGGGGAAAAAAGTGCATTAGAGCATGTAAGAAATGTTTGTAACTTTACATCCTCCGATAATGCAAAAACCGGTAGTTCTTCTAAATCAAAAACTAAAAAATCTACTATATTAAGAATAAATACGGATGATTATACACATGTTGATGATACGGTATTTAATATTGATAGTAATTCAGGATTAGATCCTTATCATGAAAATTTACAACGTCGCTTTGGTAATTTTGATGAGGATTTGCCTAGTGATAGTGATAATGATAATGATATTGATAATTATACTGATACGCCTATTTTTGATGATGATGATGATGAAACTCAGCCACCTATGGCTACTACTACTCCTAGTCCCGCTCCCTTTCATTGTCCTGCCCCAGTTCCCCCGGTACATCCTAGGCCTAAGGTAGAACGTGTTAAAAAATCAGTTGTTTGGCAATTTATGACACAAAATGAAGATAAAACACAAGCTATTTGTAATAAATGTAAACATATATTAAATCATAAAACTGTGGGCAAATCTGGCGGGACGGGACATTTGAGTAGTCATTTAATGTCTTGTTGTAAAAAATAAATTTTTGCATGCTAAAGTGGTAGCGGAAGCTAAAAAAACGGTACCCCCCTTCCTGAAAATGTAGGAGTAGGCGGCTCTAAAATGGTACAAACACAATTAAATTCGTCTAATGTTTCTAGCTCTAGTTTACTACCTTCATATAGTAGAGAAAAAGATCTTGAAGAACTAGCTAAAATGATATGTGTTATGGTTTTGCCATTTAGTTTTGCTGAAAATCCCGATTTTATACATTATATTCAAATTGTATATAATCCAAATTTTAAAGGTTTTGCTAGAAATACAATAAAAAAGGCTGTATTTGATTATCATGCATAACATTTTCAATATCTTCGTTGTTTATTTTATTATAATACTTGTAAAATAGCTATTACTTCTCATATGGGTCGTAGTGTAAATGGTAACGATTATTTGACTGTTACTGCACATTGGATTGATGAAAATTTTTATATGCAAAAAAGAATTTTAGGTTACAAATGTTGTCAAATGCAAAAAACCGGTAGTTATATTGCTCAAACTATTTTAGATATTTTACAAAGTTATGGAATATGTGATAAAATAAGTAGTATAACATTAGATAATGCTTCAAGTAATAATTCTGCTGTTCAATATTTAAAAACTACACTTTGTCCTTTTTATGGTGATAATTATCATATTAGGTGTACTGCACATATATATAATTTGATGGTTAGAGATGGTGTAAATATGTATGATAACGGATGTACGAAAGTTGAAAATGCATGTCATTTTATATTTAAATGTCAAGTTAAGTCTCGGCGTAAAGATTTTCAAAATCGCTGTTTTGAAAATAGTCTTCCACCTAGAAAAATTTCAAAAACAGTGTCTACTAGATGGAATACTTTATATGAAATGCTTGTAGTCGCTTATGAATATCGAATACCCTTACAAATGGTTTGGAATGCTCATGATTCTGATATGACATATAGACTAGATGATAATGATTGGCGTGATATAAATGAACTTATAGATTTCCTTAAAGTTTTTTACTTAACTACAAAAAGAATTTCTGTACTTTATAGTCCATCAATTTGTACTATTTTGCCTGATATTTGTATGATTTCTTCTAAATTATATAAATTTAAAAATAAACCAACATTTCAACAAACCATTGAAAAAATGATTATAAAATTTAAAAAATATTATATTCCTATTCTTCAAATTTATTTAACTGCATGTTTGTTACATCCTAAGTATAAAGATTTCGGTTCATCAAGAATGGTTGAAAAAATATATTTTAACTTAGATATTAATGATGAATTAGAAGAAATTCCTAGCTGTCAACAAGTTAAAGATAGCATAAAAATTGAAACAAGAAAATTGTATGATTTATATAATGCTAATAAAAATTTATCTAGTGAAAATGAACCTGGAAGCTCTAGGGTTAGATTTGATGAAAATAATATTGATAATTATTTAGAGGATTATCTTGAACTTTCTCACGATAATAGAAATGATTTTGATGCATATATTAATCAAATGACAGAACCTACTGAAGATGTTCTCAAATGGTGGAGAGAGCGCACCAAAGGATTTCCAAAACTAGTACCGATGGTTCGAGATATATTAGCAATGCAAGCGTCGTCGGTAGCTTCGGAAGGCGTCTTTAGTGCAGCAAGGTTTCAACTTGGAGAACATAGGCATTCACTAGCAGCCGACAGCTTGGAGATATCGGTATTATTTCGAGATTGGATTAATGCCGAGAGAAGAAATTTGGGTCGTGAACCACTACCGACCAAATTTCAAGATGACGTTGATGAAGTAATGCAGATTATAGTGACGACGGGATTGAAGCAATGGAAGATCTTTCTATTCAACCTATTCCCGAACATGTTACTAAAGAAATGTTGAATGATTTACGAAGGTATTTATATGGTGGCACCAACTATTAATTCAAACTAATATTTTTGTAAATCTAATTGTAATATCAAATATATATTAATAAAAATATAGGCTATTTGCCTTAATTTGTTTTTTAATATTGTTGTATTAAATTTAATTTTTGATATAGTCAATATTAAATTTTATAACTTTAAAGTTTAAATTCAAAAATTTCAAAATTTAAGAGTTTGAAATTTAAATTTTATAACTTTAAAATCTGAATTTTAAATTTTCAAACTTTAAAAGTTTGAATTTAAAGTTTGAAAATTTAAATTTGAAACTTTAAAATTTTGAAAATTTTAAATTAAAACTCTAAAGTTTATAACTTTAAAGTTATAACTTGAAAGTTTATATAACTTTAAAGTTTGAAATTTAAATTTAACTTTAAAATTTGAATTTAAAATTTTCAAACTAGTTTGAATTTAAAGTTTGAAAATTTAAATTTATAACTTTAAAGTTTGAAATTTAAATTATAATAAAAATTAGATTCAATTAAATTTTATTTTTTAAAAAATTCGGTTCGTCCCGGATACCGGTCCGGTCTAGTACCGGTTTACTACTGAATCGAGACGGAACAATAGTTATTTTACCGGTTTCCCGGACCGGTCCGGTTCCGATTTCGGAACTAAATCGGTACACGCAGTACCGATTCCGTATCGGTTCCTGTAATTATCGGTCCAATTTTGCCGGTTCCGGTACCACTGCCACACATGGGTGTGCGTAGTTCACGTAGATATAACTTGAAAAATATTAACAATTTTTTTTTTGAAAAGATAATACCGAACCCAAGAAGGGTTGCCTACGTATCTCATTAAAATGAAAATCAGGTACGCGTAGTTCGTTCAGATATGACTTGAAAAATATGCACAAACTATTTTTTTTTAATTTTTGGAGAAGATAATATCGAACCCAAGAAGGATTGCCTACATATCTCACTAAAATGAGAATCAGGTACGCGTAGTTCGTCTGATAAGGCATATAATAACTTAAAGATTTAGACAACTCAAAGAAATTTCTAGGTCTAGTGCCACTAAAATTTTGAAGTCATGAAGTTGATTTTTTTTCCCGCACCAATATGTTTTATAGCCTCTTAATCGTCAATATTTATACTATCTGTTGAATGTATCCTACGAATTTCTATAGTAATGTTTGTTGTACTCTTTTTGGATGTTTTCTTGGACCTTTGTCTCTTCCCAATTTTCACGAGATCCAGACATTGTTATGATCATCCTCGACTGATGTCGGGGACGATATTTCTACAAAAATATGAGAAATATGTGAGAGTAGGAACATCATGTCAAATAATAATAAAAATAAATAGATGTGATCTCATAGACAAATACTCCCCTGATTTATCATTTTGACTTGATAATAATGTCTTGTGAAATACAAGGACTCGAATTTCGCTAATCCTCTTGTCTCTTGCGACTTCGGACAAATAATGATTTCTGCACTCGAACATTAATCAATTTTTTGGTGTGAAGAAGAACAACTCAAAATGTAAAAGTGTTAGTTCCCGTACATAATGGATAATGCAAAATATCACACAAATAATGAATAAAACACACAAATACTGTTTTAATTAAACGATTAAAACTGTCTTCTTCGTGAAATTCTTGTCATCTCTGATTGTCAACACTTTTGGATGGAATGATAGTTTCAGAAAATTTGAGTTTGACAAAAGTAAACTGTTAAAATAACCTTCTAATCCATATGGACAGTGATTTGTCAAACGACGTACACATCCTTAAAATTACACACAATTATGATCGTCCTTTTAGGCTAGAGGCCATTATGGACTCAAGGTGGTCTTTCTAATGGATTCAACACGCCTTGGGTGTTGGGTCATCTTAAGTTGATGCTTAAATTTGAATTTGGCTCGGGTCTACGCTAATTTACTAGGAGTGGGTTGTATTTAGAGTAGAAGAGGTAACCCAAGTGGACTACTTGGCTGAGACAGTTAACGATCGCTGACCATCAAGTAGCCAACTACACCCAAATTTTTTGATCAATGAACGACTGCGAACCCGCATAATCGTCCTTTAATGGAAATAAAATAATTGTCGTTTCACGGAAAATATTATGCCATTAATGCAATGAAAATATATACACAATGAAATAAATAATGAATAAATACAATACACAAATAGTTAGCGAAATATAAAAATACAAGGTATAACATAATAATAAAACAAAAATTTCCTCAATTTGAAAAATTCATATTGGTTAAAACCTCTGAAAAATCTCAGTGTCTCCATTTTGTTTACATCCCCATTCTATCAAAATTGGGCGAAACGTCGCGGTGACTCAAAAACTAATTAATTGAATCAATTTTAATGAATTTTAAAATGAACGAGTTTTAAAAAGAGTTGCCACCTTATTTTAGGAAAAAAACTAGAAAACCATTAAATGATCTACGAAACCAATTTGATTCTAGGTAAAAGGTTCAAATTATTTCGAAGGGAAGGGGTTAGACATCCTTCGAAATCCAAAAATGTGGGTCCTGACTGATTTTTTTTTTTCAAATTGAGGAAGAATATAAAATAATGTACAAGTATATTAAACATTCAATATGCAAAAATAACAAATAAAAAATATAAGAAACGACCTAAATTTTACCTAACGTTAATATATACAAAATAATGAAATAAAAGTATGATTCAAACTACATTCGAATAATTTCAAGGAGAAGTACCTCCGCGTACCTGTAAAGACACTTAGAAAAAGAGATATTACCAAATAAATATAAATAAAAATGAATAACTCAAATAATAACTTAAAAGTAAAAATTCATTTTATTAACATGGGAGGGAAATCGACGGTAATTTCTTCATTGGCCATTTTAACAATTTTAACAAACAATTTATATAAACTTAAACTAAAATTTTTTGTCTTTTAATATTGAGTAGGCCTCCAAAATCGATGGAGAGTTTTTTCGGCCAATTTAACAAATAAACATGTATGAACTTAAATTAGATTTCCGTCTTTTAAAATGAAAAGACCTCTAAATCCGATGGATAGATTTTCCGTTGGCTAATCCTATCACACATTCCCAAATCAAATCAACGGAAAACAATAACGTGATATAGCAATTCAAAAGAAAACAATGGTAATAGGATGAAATAGAGACAAAATAACTTCACCATTTCAATGGGTTATCCGGTTAAATTGAAGTTGGAGCATGGAGCTTGTTGGAGATGGCATAACAACCCACATGGGTCTTGAAAATCAGCTGGTTTGGGGCTCACAGCTAACTTGCGGAAAAAAAAAGAGGGGCAGGGAACTGGTTCGAGTAAGGGGAAAATGGGTCGGGGTTTTGTTGGATGAATAAATAGGAATGACGATGGGGTTTTGTTTACTTTTTGGTGGTTGTTTGGTCGGTTTGGTTTCCCATGAGTTCACCGGAGCTCGGAGCTCGTGAAAACAAAGGGGTTTTGTTTCACGCGGCGGCTGGTGGGGTTTTGGAGGTTGTTTGGGTGTTGAACTGGTGGTCTTTTCGGTGGTGATGTGAAGCTATTATTGAGATGGAGTTCTCAAGCCTTGCAGGATTCCGACGGAGGGAGAGAAAAATGGAGTTGAATGGGTAGAGATCTGGTGGGTCTAAGATGGTGGCAGGAAGGTTGCTGGCCGGAATCGAAAATGGAAACAAAGGGGGGTTGGGTGGTGGCATCTAAGGGAGGAAAATGTATCCTTATTCTATTTAAAAATTTTACACTAGCCCTCATTTTATTTCCTTCCCCATTTTGACCTAGTTAATAACTTAAATAAGAAAACACAAAATGAGCTCAAATGATGGGTTAGCATTGTGGCCCAAAATTATCTGAATAGAATTCCTGAATTCTTTTCGTATTTGAATAACTTTTAGAATGTGCTGAATTCATCATAAATATTAACAAATGTAACAAATAAAAATAATTTTTTTTAAAAAAAATATAATGAACGTAACTAATGACATGTAAAGATACAATTTTAAAATTAACTAATAAGAAATTTTAAAATTCTAATAAATAAAGATAGTTATCGATAAATTTATTCAAAAATTATAAAAAATATCTTTTGAACTATTAAATAAATAAACTTAAAAATTACGAATTTTTTTAATATGTTAGGCCAAAATTGGGTGGCAACAGTTATGACACAAACCAAAATTAGAATTAAGAAAGAGGCTTAGAAGGGGTTAGAATTAAGAAAGAGAATTAAAAAGTTATGTATTTGAAACCTGAGCTGCAAAATCGTTTCTAAGGAAATAGAGAAATGAGGGAAAATGATTCTATGTTCTTAGTAAATTGTTTCTTAATTTCAAGGGAAATGGAGAAAACTGGAGAAAATTAGGAGTAAGTTTATTAGTCAACGTGGTATGAGTAGAACTCTATTGGCTTATGTGGCGTGCCATGTGGATGCCACATGGCATCTAAGTGACATTTAACAAATTCTGTTAATGAGAAGGGTATTTTTGACCCTATAATTTGACAAAAATGATATATTTGAGCCAAAATATAGTTTAAGGGCATATTTGAGCTATTTCAAATATTCAAGG